ACCCCAGTTTTCCTGTGCTGCAAGGGGTCCAGAGAAGAGTGGAGGGAGAAGGCTTTGCTACTGCGGACTCTGACTCTGGGGAGCTGGTTCCCATGAAAATAGACTCTTTCACCAAGAGAGCTGATACAATATAAGATTTATTTGTTGCTTTAAATTCTGGGAGTGATTTCTGTCACAGTTAGTTGGTTCCTTGCAGGTAAACAGTTGAGGATGTGAATGATGGTATGTTTGCATAAATGAATAAGAATTTTTAAAATTTACAAAGTGAATTAATGCACTTAAAAAGTAACAAATGATAGAGTTTGCTGCACATCTTCTCTAAATGATATAAAAAAATAAATTTGAATGTGTATTTAAATCGGTATGTGTACTAAAGTTTGAGTTTAGATTATTTTATGATAATTTCAAAATGACCGGATTAAATTGAATGGAAATTGGGTGGTATAAGACTGACACTCCACAAAGTTGGTGCCTGCTTCCTGATTAGTGATGGAAGCAGAAAGGAGGTAGGCCTAGATAACATAGGAGGTCAGAAGCTCAAGGGGGTCTGTAAGGAGGGAAGACAGGAAGTAAATTGAGAGCGCCCCTCAAGACAAAAGGGAACCTTTCTCTCCATTCCCTTGTTTACGTACCGTTTTATTTTAGTGTAGGGTATAGGAAGAAATGAGGGGGCCAGGTTTGAACACTGGCTCTGATTTTTAGTGACTTGATTACTATAGTGGCCAATCCATTGTCAGTTTCCTCATTTATGAAAGGGACTTAGTATTTCATAGATTATCTTTAGATTCTTATGAAGGTTAAATAAATAACACATAAAGCCCTAGTCTGGTGCTTGGTACAGTGGCATTGATACTACATAAATAGAACTTTATTTTGTGAAAAGGGATTGTTTTGTGGATTCAGTCAGAAAAAAATCATTAATTGTATGTAATAACATTTCTCTTAGGATCCAGTAAGCTGAATATTTCCTGGTTATTGTAAAGATCTGGAAATAGACTTCTTACATGAAGCCTATCTTGTTTCATTTGTGGGTTTAAGTGAGGATAGAAGATTGTCCTGATTTTGCCTTGTCTTTGTCTAAAAGGAGGAAATTGGAGTTGGTTTTCCAGCCTAATGGCGGATGACACTTTTGAAGTCTAGTAATCTGTAGTTACATGAGGCAAAATTTGATCACATTTTGGAGGTAGGTTCTGTTTGTCATTCATTAAAATTAATTTGATTGGAAACCAGGCTTTGACCTACTAAGATGGGAATTGTATAAGAGCACATTCTCATCCCAGTTCCTAGGTATAAGATTAAGCTCAGGGGGGCTGGGGTTGTGGCTCAGAGGTAGAGCGCTCGCCTAGCATGCGTGAGGTACTTGGTTTCATCCTCAGCACCACATAAAAATAAAATAAAGATATTGTGTCCACCTGTAACTAAAAAATAAATATTAAAAAAAGATTAAGCTCAGTAAAATGAGAAAGCTATGCGCTGCTGCTTTTTAAAATCTGTGTGATGATGAGGAGGAGGATTTTGACTTAGGCCTTGGTTACCTTCATTTAGACTTAGGCTTTTGTTCAGAAGAGCATGTGCTCCTCCCATCCATCTCCCTCTTTTGCCATGCAGATTCCACTAAGTCAATGGTGGAAAGGTATAGACAATTCTTATTAAACAAGAAAAAAGGAAAAATTATGACTCATTTATTTTTTTAGAGAAAACCACTATTGTGTTTTCATTCATTAAGTTTTAAGAATTTTTTCTTATATATATTTATATGTTTAAGACAAAATGATATCATGTAATTGATTCTTTCTATAATAGCTTGATTCAGTCATCAATGTAATATGTATCTTGATAAATAGATTTCTACAATATCCTGTTATCTTTATTCTTTATTTTCTTTTAGTTACAGAAATTATGTATCACATTAAAAAAATTCTTGGGTATAGCAGTGTCTCACAGGAAATAATCCAGTTAATCACTTACATAACTTTTAAGTGTCTTCTTAGTACTCTTTTGTATGGATGGATTGTAGTTTTCTGAGCTGATTCCATATGGTTTTGTAGTAAACCACACTGCTGGGAACAGCCTGTACATAAGTATTGGTACAATTGCTCAACTGTCTCATTAAAATAAATTCCTCTAACTTGCATGCTGGTTGGAATGTGTATATATTGAAAGATTTTTTTTGTTAAGTGCTGCTAAAATTCCACCCAAAACAATTATACCAGTTTGTTCTCTGATTGTAAGCACTTGGGAGAATACGTTCATACAACCCTTCCAATATGTTTTTTTTTTTCCCTTAAAAATAATTTTTGCCAATTTAATAAATGAAAACTTTTAATTTGAAATTATTTTTGATCATTAAGTTTCTTTTATGGTTTTTAGGCTATGTGTATTCCTTTGTGAATTCCTTGTTTTCCTATTTTAAAAAAATTGAAGTGTCCATCTTTTTCTATAAAATTAAGTATTTTCTTTTCACACACCAATGTGACTTAGAAGGTGCCTTAGTCCCCTTTGAAGCACAGGGAGTTATGCACAAAGAAAGAATTCACTCAACTGGAACAGCTTGCTTTTCACAAAGGTTTGTGCTGACCTGAGAGCTAGGAAGTTCCAGCAGAGCCGCATTGTGTGGGCAGGTGGATGTGGCTGCCTTCCTCCACGCTGTGGGATTGCTGGCAGCCGTGCCTGTCTCTGCAGTCCCATTGATCTATCTCAGTTGCTGTGCCAGTATGCAGGTGGGGATCCAGTGAGGCCCTGACGTGCATTTTCTCTCCGGTACCAGGGAATAATGCCTTGTGAGTTAGTGAACAATAACTGAGATAGATTGGTAATACTCAAGCACCACGCACCCCATTTTCCTTATTTTACTGTGCTGGCAGACATTATGAACATGTGTGTCTCTGAAACATTTTAAATGAAAGCAACTTTTGCTTTTTTAGTGTGTTAAGTGTGAATTTTGCATTGTGATGCAGTTTCTTGCCACACAGGCTACTCTATTTCAAAGGGGAGGAATGTGGAGAGGGAGTGTGACAGTGAGGTGCAAGGGAGCCTGATGCCACATGGTTACCCCTTGAGAGTGGTGCAGGTGGTTGCCTTCTGAGCAGGCAAGTTTTGAATCAGCTCACAGGGGGATGGCAGTTAAAATATGTACCTTGGTGCTTATGATGATGAAATAAACTGACTGCAGAGGGGCTTCTGCCACAGTCCCCACCACCCAGTAGGCGTTCATTGGATGGTGGTGGTTATGCACTCGGGTGGTCATTTATTGTTACCTTACTGTATGCCAGGCACTGGTTGAGGTGTTGGAGGCACTGGCACAAGAGAAAAGGCTGATGCCTTCTCAGGGTGCTGAGGCTCTAGTGGGAGAGACAGGCCCTGAACAAGGAAGTGAAGCGACAGATGATACTGCACTGCACCTAGCACCTGGAAGGGTAGGAAAAGTGAGGTGGAAAGACTGGGTGCTGAGGAGAGAGAGGGGTGCACTTTTACGAGGGTGGTAGGGGCGGCTCTGAGTCTTGGAGGTTCTGCAGACCTGGATTTAAGCCCATTTTGGCCGCAGTTGAGTGACTTTGAAAGAAAGTCATTTGACTTATGAGCCTTGGTTTCCACGTGGTGGAAGAAGTAGTAGTAAATGAGCCTCCTGGGGCTCAGTGAGGAAGCAGGAAGTGGGGAGCAGCGGAGCATCGTGCCTGATGAGCTCCGGCAGTTGCCCAGGAGGGTGGGTGCTGCACCCTGCTTGCCAGGCCTCCAGGACATCAGGTAGGGGCTGGTGCTTTGTTCTGGAAGGAACAGTGCAGCTATGGGTGGTGATTCACGTGGGAGGAGACGAGAGGAGGAGCAAGTGGTGGGAGTCATGGTAAGAGTTATTGTATGTAGATTCTTTTCTTTCCTCCTAAAAGGAAAATAAAAAACTTGTTCTTATCTCTCTGGGCTTCTCTTTCAGTGCCTAGTGGGTATTTTGCAGTTTAGTTTTGGTGAATAAAATGTGTACATGTATTGCATATATAAAAGTTAAAGTGAAAAATTGTTGAAAAATAGATGTTCTTTAAAACCAAGGAATGTTGCCAGGCGTGGTGGTGCATGCCTGTAATCCCAGCAGCTCAGGAGGCTGAGGCAGGAAGATCACAAGTTCAAAGCCAGCCTCAACAATATAGTGAGGCCCTGAGCAACTCAGTGAGAACCTGTCTCTAAATAAAATACAGAAAGGGGTGTTACTCAGTGGTTAAGTGCCCCTGGGTTCAATCCCTGGTATTCCACAAAAAATAAATAAATACAAGAAGGAATGTTAGCTAAACACTGGAAGCCTCTCTGGGAGGAATTGTCTAAGGGTCTTGCAGGGACTCTTCCTGTAAGAGTGGATTTAATGTGACTTCTCAGAGAAGGGCTGAGTTTTCAGTATGTTTTTGGAAGGCATTGATATTTCCTAGAGTGTGACCCATGGCACCTTAGTCCTGACAGGAGCCCTGGATAGAGTGGTAAGAGCTGGCTGAGTTTGCAGAGCATCATGCTCATCACCCTCATGACTGGTTCACAGCGTGTGTTTACTTCCTGAAGTCCCTGTCAGTCCTGCCAGAAAAAGACCCACTGACTTGGGTCACCCACAGGGCCAGGCCCCCCTGCTGGAGTGACAGAGCAACCCTGAGAGTATGGGGATTTGCCCTGCTCAGCACTCCTCAAGCTTCACAGTCCTAGTCACATTTTCAGGAATGTAGTTGTCACTTCCTTTATGCATGTATTTGCAAAGCTTTTGGTGATCATCAAGTATATTAGTTACATAGCTCCTTCTGTTTAGGGGAAAAAGTAAGCAAACCCAAATAAAAAAATAATGGGAATCACATGGTTTTGAGTTTCAGTTTTTACTTGGTATTTTTCTTTTCTCTGTCACTTACTTTGTTTCTGTGAAATGCTTTATAGAGTAGTTGTGTGTAATGAGGAAGACTTGTTTTAAACATTGAACATGAAGATACTTTTAAGTACTCCTATCTTAACAAAGGTTGTTTTCCCCCATTTCCAAGGTATATTACCCGAATTTGGGATGGATGTGCATCGATGCCACTGATCCGGAGAAGGGGAACTGGCTGCGATATGTGAACTGGGCTTGCTCAGGAGAGGAGCAAAATTTGTTTCCACTGGAAATCAACAGAGCCATTTACTATAAAACTTTAAAGGTAACAGTGTTGGAATAGTCTACTGCAAGTGACTCTGCATGTGTTTTCTAAATGTGGTCCTTAGCTGTGACTGACAATAACTATTTTTCTGACCTTGAAGGGACTATATTTGAAGTGGTTCATTTGTACACTCAAGGTCCTATGGTAAAGAAATGGTTGCCTCTACTTCATGTATGTCAGGGAACTTAACTAAACACGAAGATGGGATTGAGTAATCACATGCTGTGTCTTCCTGGATAAAGCGTGGGGCAGCTGCTCCCCTCCTCCCAGAACGCACGGGAACTGGCTGACTGGCAGATTTATTCCACCGTAAGAAGCCATCAATAGTTGTGGTGATGCTGGGTTCAAAGTCTTCATATGTTCATAGTCTTCAATGTAAATGAAACAATGAAGCCTTGGGTTGGCTTTTTCTTTCCTTCAGTTTTATTCAGAATAGAAATTACACAGAACATGTTTTTTTTTGGCACATTTTTATTGGGAGACATTAATCACTGAGGTAAGAAGGGGCAAGTCAGGTGTGCCACCAATGAGACTGCATCTCTTTCCTGGTTTTCACTGGTCATGGTCTTGGGGAAGACAGGTCTGCACGTCATGCATGGAATTGTTCCAAGATGGAAGGTGGAGGTTGTAGAGGCCGATGGTTGTTGCTTGTTTGGAATAGATGGCTTTGCTAAAGTTGCTGTAAGGAAAGCTTGTTTTTATTCACTTGCTTCCATTAAATATAGACTGAGGGAAGTCCATAAAAATAATTGTATCTATGGAGTTGATAAGTCTTGATGAGCAAACACTGAAGGTACAGGCCAGCTTTGCAGGTTGAGTTTTGTCACTGGGGACAGCGCTAGGCCATTAAGCAGGTAACTGTTCAATTTTTTTTCTGCTACATTTTTTCCTGACATTGCTACCCAGTTGGAGGGCCCGTTACTTCATTTACACCCATGGCCTTGCATTTAGCCCTTGTAGGAATTGTATGTGTGTGTTACTTTCTCATATGTGACTTCTGAAATCTTGCTTCCTGTTTTCTTTCTGCTGAATTATAGCAGCATGCTTTTCTGGTAGGTATTACTGCAGTTTTGTTCCACCGGATTTGAAATTGGATTCTAAATGTGATTCAAGAATTCATTCTGTTTCACAGATTTACCTAAGTGAGAGATACCTGGTTGAATCTGTGAGGTGGAATCTTGGTGGAGATGGAACGCAGGCCAGGAGGTGACTGTGCGTCAGTCAGTCAAGGCCGTGGGAATGAGGTTCTGAAGGAGCACGAGCCCTAGGAGGTAGACGACCCTGCAGTTACTTCTTTAGGCTTCAAACTAAAGTCTGTTCTCTTCAAGAGCAGACCTGCAGCGACATTAGACTGCAGGGACGTTGAGAAGCCACACAGGACAGTGGGTGGGAGGGTGAACTCCGAGGCCACACTGCCTGGGCACGGCGAGCCAGGGTGCCCTAGCCCTGTGGCCTTCCCTTGTCCGTTCGTGGTGCCCTAGCTCATTTCTGGTCAGATACAGGTCACAGAGCTGTGGTGATGAGCACCTGAGTGAACATGGATAGAGCTGGAGCACCCAGTAACTAAGGGCTGTTAATGACAGCTGTCGTTTTTGCTGAGGTGATGTTGTGTGTGCCAGGAGTGGGAATTCTAGAGCAAACCACTTAGTGAGCAAATGTTGGCTTCTGGACGTGTGGCATGTGGTGTTCCTTCATTCGTCTTAGTTTTCTCACTCGTCAAGATGGAGGCAGTAGTATAGGTTGAGTATTCCTTGTCTGAAATGTTTGGGATTAACAGTGTTTTGAATTTCAGATATTTTTGAATTTTGGAGTATCTGTATATATCTGCATAACCTTGGGATGGGACCCCCGTTTTCATGCTTCTAAACGTAAAATTCGTTTGTTTCATACACATATACACATAAACAGAAGGTGGTTTTATACAATATTTTTAGTGTGCTTGCCTTTTGACTATGACCTGTCACATGAGGTGTCAGGTGTGGAATTTTCCACTTGTGGTATCATGATGGCACCCTAAAAGATTCCCTTTTGGGAGCATTTTGGATTTCAGAGTTTTGGATTAGGGATACTCAACCTGCAATACTAATTCATATACCTGTTGTAAAGATGAAGCAATCCAATACGTAGTAGCTTAGGCCAAAATAATTACTCAGAATGTGAAGTAACTAGTTGTGCTACTATCATTTTTACCTAAATTTGTTGGAAATAACACAGTTCTGATCTTTGCAGACCTCCCCCAGTCCTGACCTTTGATATTTACTCAAGTGTTCATGAGGCCTTTCAGATTCCTTACTGGTGATCGTCTAACTGTATTCTTCTGGATTAAGCATTCTGTGGGGTAGGTGTTGTGAATGAATTACGTGTGATGTTTTATGGGCTTTGTATTACCTTCTCATCTTATTCTACCCAGATAATTGGGAAATCTCAACACTAGTTTTGTGGTACTTTGATTAAAAATTATTCAAAGTTAACAAGCCTATTATCCATTTATTCATCTACTTAGTAGTTTGACAGATACTGAGTGTGCACTGCAGACGGGTACTCTTCTAGGGTAGTGGGCAGAACAGACAAGGTCCTAGTGTCAGAGAACTTCCATTTTATGGGGGAGGAAGCAGATAAACAAGTAATTAAGTCGATAGAATCATTCCAGATCGAAGCAAGTGCTCTGAGGACAGTCAGATGCCGTGGAGGACTATGTAGGGAGAGGCTGATTGGCTTCTGGACGAGGGAAGACTTCCTGAGAAAGACATTGAATTCCTTCCCTGGTTAGAAAGGAAACAGCCATGCAAAGATCTGGAGGAGAGGGATCCAGGAAGAGGGGCTGGTAGAAGCAAAGGGCCTTGAAGGAGGAATACACTAGTAGTTTTGTTTTTTGTTTTTGTGGGGTTTTTTTTAGAGGAACAGAACAAAGGCTGATGTGACTGGAGGAAGGAGAGGAATAGTAGGAGGTGATGTGGGCAGGGGCCAGATCAGGTGGGGCCTCAAGACTCACAGGGAGAGAAGTATGAGTTTTAGTCTTAGGCTCAGTTCACTCGTTCAAGGTTTGAGGTTGAGATCTGATCCATGACTTTTTATAGATCATGTTGGGGAATGGATTTTGGGTGGATAAGTGTGTATGAATTTGGGTATTCCAACGATTCTGGAGCAGTTTTCTTATTTGATCTAGCATCAGGAATATTAGGGACCCTTGCTTCTTCCTAATTGGTCTGGTAAATTTCAGGTTTATATATGTCGATGTTTAGAAAAGAGAGAGTGCTTGATTTTATAAAGACTGCCTGAATCCAAAGGAAAAGTTGCAAGGGTTTCTTTAACAACAAAATACAGTACAATCATGCACCGCCATATGATGGGGGTTCCATAAGATTGCATCAGTCAGTGACATCACAGTGCCTGAGTTTGTGTGAGCATGCTCTGTGAGGTTTGTACCACAGTGGAATTGTGTGATGGCATATTTCTCAGAATGTATCTCATCCTTAAATGAAGCATAATTGTATGTAAAAAGGTTGGTTGGTCTTTCAACTTCATTTTTTTAAAATGTGGATTTGTACTTACAATGATAGAACTCTGTGTAAATCTTGAAAATTCTAAGGAGTGCAGAAATGAAAACAGCATAGTACAGAAGAAAACAATCCTTGATTTAAAATATATATATATATTTAAAAAAAATATGTATTCCCTTCTTCATAAGGGAATGCTGTGTAGCTGCTTTAATACAAAGTTGGGAAGTATATTGCTCCATAGTATAATAACATCTCAGTGGTTCAGACAGTTTTGAGAGCTATTCTGTAATCAGGTTGTTGTTTCTCTTGATGGAAGGGCTTCACCAGCCCAATAGCCTTTTAAACATTTTGTATTAGATTTGAGGTGCGCTAGGATTCTTGTGTTTTCATAGTGTGTGTTTTGCAGCAACAAGAGTAACTGGGGGTATGGCGTGCTCCCCCGTGAAGTAGCCAGTGCAGCAGGCAGTCTGCCCAGGCCTGGTGGAAGAGCCTTGGAGGCAGGCACTCTGATTCCTGTGATCCCCTGAAACTGTCAGCTTTCAACCAGGGTCCTGGTTACTCTGTTTGGGGGCGGAATATGTCAAGAACACAGTTGTCCTCACTCCTCCTTTCTGTGTTCTTGTTTTACTTTTGATTTTGTTTAACAATTAACTACTTCCTAGAATCCTAGGCATTTCAAATATTATTTAATACCACCATATTCAAAAATTTGTGACTTGTAACAAGAAGATAAATGAAGTATGTTTGGAATTTACTTTTGAAAAGTAAACACAACCCATTAGCTCATCAGGGTACCCAAAGGCATTTGTGATTATTAAATTAGATTTTTTGGTTTAGGTTTAACTGATTCACGGAAAAAGAAAAGTGAATCCAGTGCCTCACACAATATATTGATTCAAAGATAAGAAAGTGGCAGATTTTAGCCATTCTTGGGGGAGCCAAAGAAACAGTGGCTGGTTCTTATATTTTGAAGAATTCAGTCTATTTTGAAATTTGAACAAAATATATAAACAAAATTCTGTGGAGAATGCAACAAAGTAACATTTGCTTGTTTTCTTTTTAGTTATTCGTGACAGAATATATTTTGATATACATACATGGAGTATAAATTTCCATTCTTGTGTTTGTGATATGGAGTTACGCTGGTTGTATGTTCATATATGAACATAAGAAAGTCATGTCTGATTCATCCTACTTTTGTCTTTCCTATTCCTCTTCCCCCTCCCTTCCCTTCCCTTCCCTTCATTCCCCTTTGTCTAATCCAGTGAACTTCTATCCCCACCCCTCATTGTGAGTTAGCATCTGTGTATCAGAAGGAATATTTGGCCTTTGGTTTTTTGGAATTGACTTATTTCACTTATGGTAGTTTCCATTTACTGACAAATGCCATAATTTCATTCTTCTTTATGACTCAGTAATATTCCATTGTGTATATATATCACATTTTCTAAACTCATTCATCTGTTGAAGGGCACCTAGGTTGGTTCCATGGTTTAGCTATTGTGAATTGAACTGCTATAAACATTAATGTGGCCGTGTCACTATAGTATGCTGATTTTAAATCCTTTGGGTATATGCCAAGGAGTGGGATAGATAACTGGATCACATGGTGGTTCCATTTCATGGTTTTTGAGGAATCTCCATACTGCTTTTCAGAGTGGTTGCATCAATTTGCAATCCAATCAGCAATGTATGAGTATATGCTTTTCCTCACATCCTCACTAACATTTGTCATTACTTGTATTTTTTTAATTAATTTTTTTTAGTTGTAGATGGACACAATACCTTTATTTTTACTTTATTTATCTTCTATTATCTTTTATTTATCTTCTTATGAGATGCTGAGGATTGAACCCAGTGCCTCACACATGCTAGGTAAGCGCTCTGCCACTGAGCCCCAGCTCTCATTACTCATATTCTTGATAATTGCCATTCTGACTAGAGTGAATGGAACGCCAGTGTAATTTTAATTTGCATTTCTCTAATTGCTAGAATTGTTGAACATTTTTTCATATATTTGTTGACCGATATTTCATATATTTGTTTCTTCTGATGAAGTGTCTGTTCA